ATGGATTTGTATTTTCTGGTTAAATACATGCACATGCGATTTCAAGCTTCTACATAATTTTCTACAAAAGTAACTGAAACTGAAAATTTCATTTTTTTGATCGGGATACGATTAACAAACTGGATTTTTTTTTAAAGTTCAAGAGGAATTACTGTTAAAAATCATCGGACTATGACCAAATTCAAATTTGGCCTGTGTAATCCTTTGAAGTATTTGATTTGAATGTGCACAACTGATAATGAACGGAAACTGAAAATTTCTTCTTTTTTTCAAAGTTAGATGGATAACTCAGTCAAATATCATCGAACAACGATCAAATTCGAATTTTACCTGCGTATTCCTATAAATTACCGATATCATTAACGAGTTGAACATGGACACTTGTTGGGAAGATAGTGAACTGAAACTGAAATGTTCTTCTTTTTTCAAAGTTAAAAGGGCATAACTCTGACAAAATTCATGGAACCTTGACCAAATTCAAACTTACCTACGTAATATTTTGATGTATCTCTATGTCAAATTTGAGTTGAATGTGTACAACTGTTGGGAAATAATAAACAAAAGAGATTTTTTTCGAAGTTCAAGAGGGATAAATCTGTCAAAAATCATCGAACCATGACCAAATTCCAACTTGACTTGCGTATTCATATCTTAAATTTGTGTTGAAACTGTAAATCTGTTGAAGAGATAATAAACAAAAAATGAAAGTTCTTATTTTTGTAAAGTAAAAAGAGCATAAGGGCCAAAACTCACCAAATATAAACTTGACCTTGGCATTCCTTAGACGTATCAATATGTCAAATTTGAGTTGAATGTGTACAACTGTTGGGGAGATAATGAACTGAAAATGAAAATTTCTTCAAGGTGCATGGCTCTTGTCAAAAATCATTGAATCATGACCAAATTTGACGGGACCAGCATTTTCCTATGATATATCCATATGTCAAATTTAAGTTGAATTTTGTAATTGTTGCCAAGATAAGATAATGATTTGAAAAACAGGTGATGACGGTGTAATGGAACACGGTAACATAAAAGTATATGCCCTAAGCCATAAACTTAAATTGTCACTTTTATATCCATCACCAATGAAATGCGCACTAAACGTTGAATTGCATAGATTGCCCTTGCATAAATTGACCTAAAATACAAGTGAGAATGACCATTTGTGTTACAATCCCTCAATAAATAATGACTTAATGGTTCCTATAAACATCCTCATTATCTTTTACTTTAACTTTTACTCCTATGTGTGACCTTGACCTTAGCCGCTGGGACCTGAATTTTGCGCCTTGCACTCTACAAATTATGAACATCTGTACGAAGTTAAATTAAAATCCCTTTATGCAATTAAAAAATCATGTTGCGGACAAGGCTTTTTCAATGACCTCTATATGCGACCTTGACCTTTCATCTATAAACCTGGTTCATGGGCACGTCATCAATTCTCATAGAAAATTACAATCCCTCCAAGCATGAAGAAGATATGCTCTGGACAAAATCTGGATATTCATCATTTTCAGTGACCTTGCCCTTGCATATATTGACCTAACTTACAAGTGTCACATATGTTGTCATGAGAATGACCATTTGTGTTGTAATCCCTCAGTAAAGGATGAATAAATGACCCTATACACTTTGTCATATTTCTATTTGAACGTCGACCCCTATATGTGATCTTGACCTTATCCTCTGGGACCAACACTCCACTGCAAAATAGTGAACATTTGTGCAAAGTAATATTGAAATCCCTCTTTGCATGTAGCCTGAGTATGAACAAGCATTTCTCACATACCTCTATTTGTGACCTTGACCTTTTACCTTTGACCTAGAGACCTTGTTTATGTCCGCGACACGGAATCTCACACTTCTACTCAATGAGATCTATCTACCTACACAATTTCATGTTGATATCTATTATAATTCTAGAGTTATGACCCGGACAAAGTTGAAAATGTAAAAATGAACAAAGGGCTATAACTCTAAAATTACGCAAGACAGTTGTGGTTCTTTTGCACTGATCTTCTACCCAATGAGATCTATTTACCTAAAAAGTCTCACGTTGATATTTCTTATAGTTTTGGAATTATGACCCCGAAGAAGTTCAAAGTGTAAAAATGATCAAAGGGCAATAACTCAAAAATTAGGCAGAACAGAGTTATTGTTTTTTTGTTTTGCACTTCTACTAAATGAAATATATCTACCTACAAAATTTCATGTTGATGTCTCTAATAGTTTTAGAATAATGTCCCGGACAAAGTCAAAGTGTAAAAATGAACAAAGGACAATAACTCTAAAATAAGGCAAGATATGGTTATAGTTCTTTTGCATTGCACTTTCCTTAAGGAGATCTATCTACCTACAAAATTTCATGTTGATATCTCTTATAACTTTAGAGTTATGTCCCGAACAATGATCAAAGTGTAAAATGAACAAAATGCGAAAACTCAAAATCAGGCAAGACAGAGTTAAGGTTCTTTTGCACTGCACTTTTACTCAATGAGATCTATTTACTACAAGGTTTCATGTTGATATCTCTTATAGTTTTAGAGTTATGTCCTGGAAAGTTCTAATTGTAAAAATGAACAAAGGGCAATAACTCCAGAATTAGGCAAGTAAGAGTTATTGCTCTTTTTGCATTGCACTTTTACTGAATGAGATCTATCTACCTACACAATTTTATGTTGATATCTCTTATAGTTTTAGAGTTATGTCCCGGACAAATTTCAAAGTGAAAATGAACAAAGGGCAATAACTCCAAAATCATGAAGTACAGAGTACCGGTTTTTGTGCACTGCACTTCTTTCATGTCCATAGCTTTTATAGTTTATGAGAAATGGCCCGGACAAGAATGAAATATGAAAATTAACAAAAAAGGCAATAATTTTAAAAAATAAGAAGTGCAGAGTACCTGTTTTTGTGCACTGCACTTTTTCTCAAAAAGATCTTTCATCTTATGAAGTTTCAGTTCCATAGTTTTTATAGTCAAAGACGTTTTCCGGCGGGAGTTTTCATATAGACATATAGGCAAAATTAAAACGTTTTAATAGAATTTCTTTAAACTTGGCATGTTATTAGAATATGATAACAAAAACATTTTAAACAGAAAACAATTTGAGGTCACCGTTCTCATTTTCGAGTCATCTGCCCTTGAATATTTTTTTTCCGTTAAATTCAAGGACAGATGATTCACAATGAAGCGCAAAACATTCTTATTTTCATGATGCTTACCTTCGTACTACTCAATATGCAACATTTCAAGAACAAATTTGGAGAAGAAAGTTTTTTCCCACTTCTTCTCTTAACCTGTGCATTTTTTTTAAAAAAATTCTGATTCAGGGGCTGATAACTAAAAAACGAGAACGTGACCCTAATTTCTTTTTTCGCCTCAAATGTTTCTGTTATCTTATTCTAACAACATGCCAAGTTTAAAGAAACTCTTTAGAACAGTTTCTAATTTTGCCTATATGTCTATATGAAAACTCCCGAAAACGTCCTTAAGGAGAAATGGCCCGGACAAAAATAAGGTGCACTGTAGCTCAATGAGATATATCATCCAATGAAGTTTAAAGTCCATAGCTTTTATAGTTAATGAGAAATAGCCCGGACAAAAATAAAGTATGAAAATTAACAAAAGGAAATAACTCAACAAAAGGCAATTACTAAAAGAATTAGAAGTTCAGAGTACCCGATCTTGTTCACTGCACTTCTTTTTAATGAGATCCATCATTTTATGAAGTTTCAAGTCCATAGCTTTTATAATTTAGGAGAAATGGCCCGGACAAAAATAAAGTATGGAAATTAACAAAGGGCAATAACTCAAAAAAATAAGAAGTACAGAGTGCAGATTCTTGTGCACTGAACTTCTTATTAAGGAGATCTATCATCCTCTAAAGTTTCAATTCCATAGCTTTTATAGTTTAGGAGAAATCGCCCGGACAAAAATAAAGTATGAAAATTAACAAAGGGCAATAACTAAAAAAATAAGAAGTGCAGAGTACCGGTTTTTAAGCACTGCACCTTTTATTAATAAGACCTATCATCCTATGAAGTTTCAGGTTCATAGCTTTTAGTTTTATAGTGTAGAAGAAATGGCCCGGTCAAAAATAAAGTTTGAAATTAACAAAGGGCAATAACTCAAAAAATTAAGAAGCACAGGGTAACGATTCTTGTGCACTGCACTAATGGTCATTGAAAGAAGCATGCATTCCAAGATTGGAGTCAATCCGACTTATAGTTACTGAGTTATGCTCCGGACAAACCTGACACAAATCTGTTATTTGAAAAATCAAGCTAAGTTACAGCATAATTTTAATCACACATTTAAACGATGCCTTTGATCAAAAACAAGTAAAATAATTCTCCCACAATCTTTATTTGTCACAAAAGATGCACATAGCAAACAGAATTTACTAATAATGTTAGGAAATAACTGGTACTTTTGCAGAAATATTAATGCATAATAAGATAGTGTCTCTTTAAATAGCAAACAGCAGACTGTGGGACTGGATTGGAGGAAACATTTTACATCTTCAGCTTTGTCCTCCTCCAGTGACGTCTCTTGGCATTGTATCTGTAAAACAAATACACGAGTTGCATATGCAGAAAAGAGAAATTATTTCAGGCACAAACAGGTACCCGAGTAGAAGCACCAATGCTCCGTACGCAAGCTGGTAAGCTTCCTGTCATAAAATATCCAAAGTCACTGACGGAATTCGAACCCACAGCTTTGAGGGGCAAGAGGGCTTGAACAACCTGAACCACTAGGTCACAGATGCCTCATTTAAAATTCCAGGCGTTTACAAGATAAACTTACTTGATTTTATTTCGAATCTTCATTCAAAACACTATGGAATATGTCAGTTTTCTTTCTGTGTCTTTTCTAGACCCATTTTGGTTCTCAATGATTTGTTGGCTGCCTGAAATACAAAATTAAAAGCAATGTTTGAAATAGGAATTTTACTCCTTTTTATGTCCTTTGTACCACGAAAATTTAAGTATCCTGAAATATTCGGTTCTCGATAATGTAACAATAAAATGCAAAAACAAGAAATGGAAAAAAGACTCACCTTTATTCTAAATACATCATTGAATCCATAAATATATTCTCTTTAAGTTTTTTAATTGTTAACAATCAATGAAATAACGAATAAAAAATATTTTCAAAAAATATAACAACTGTCAAAAAAAGGATTTCCAAAATGGCGTCTTGAATTCTCGATAACTCGAGATAAATCTCAAAACGAGGCTGTATTAAGTATGGTGGCCCAGTGTTGACATGCTATAAACAACAGTTGCAGTAGAACACTGTATTCTTTCTCACAACACGGACTGGAGAGCAGTATTTAAGGTGAACCCAGTGGGAACAAGTAGCATTATCACACTGTGCCCAGTGGGTGAATTCTATTGCACCATGGGAATGCTTGTCTACATAATATTGATGACATTGGCAACACTTATCTTCATCAGGTATTTCTGATTCATTTTCACTATCAGAGAGGTCTGATTTTTCAGAAAGTTCAATGTTTTGTTTGGATGGACCTGGCTTTTGTTTATCATTTATTTGAAGATTGAAGCTGGTGGCTGAATTCTTTTTGTTCTTAGGAGTTTTAGTTTTTTTCTTTTTAGGATCATTTGAACTAATTTTACTGTTACTTTCATCAATGTATTTTTTCATTTTTTCTACAGTTTCACCTTCCAATGCTTTTCCACCAACAATACTATTAATGCTTTTACGTTTTTTTCTTCATGATTTTTATATGTACATCACCACCTTTCTTATCAAAAAAGTTATTTTCTGCTGTTTCAGATTTTTTGTGATCTCCTGATGCTGTCACTTCATCATCAACTATGTAAAGTTCAGATGGTTTGATTTTACTTTAAAAGTTCAACCATAGAGGACGAGTTCTTGAATGGATAAATGCCTGCCTTATTGAAAGAAGCTTGTAAATTTAAAGGACTTAGAGCAAATGAGTACGCCTTGCAAGCAAGTGAGCAGACATCATAACGAGTGACAACTCTGTGATGTGTTCTAGCAAATTTAGAACATTCTGGAGCATATTTCAGTTGCAGGGGACCAAAACATCCAATGTCCATAGGCTGGAGGATATGAGAGGTGTGTGGTGGCAAGACAAACAGAACAATATTTTGCTGTTTAGCCCATTCAACAAGATCTACTGATATGTGACTACGATGACCATCATACAGTATAAGAATTGTGTCATCTGATCTTCCCTGGCAAAACTTCATAAAATGATTTTGCAAATAATCTTTAAAAACAACACTATTTGACCAACCACTTGGTGTCATGATACCATCAGCACCAGGACTTTTTCCTTCCAAGAGACCATCTAACATTCGGACACCAGGGAAAACAAAAATATGGAGGGATTTGCATTCCAGCTGCATTACCAGCCCCTATTATAGTGACAGTTTTACCACGCTCAGACATGATAACTTGTGCCTTACAATCTTTTCCACTAACAACACTAGGGGGTTTATATTCAGTATTTATTCCCTTTTCATCAATGTTATAGATAAGGTGCGGTTTGTCAAATAAATCATATTTTCGTAAAATTCTTTCAAGTTCATTAAAGTATTTAGTGACAGATTCTTCACTGGCACATTTAGCACGTTGTTCAGACAGACTTGAAGGACGGACAACATTAAGTTCTGGCCACCTTTTTATGAAGTTATAAAACCAATTAAGAGTGAATGGCTGATCATCTTTCCTCTTGCCTAAAGAAACAGCATAATCAGAGGCTAAATTGACTACTTCAGCCCTCGTGTAACCATATCCAACAGAAGCAAGATCTTTTAAGTGTTCACACAATTTAGCTTCTTCATCTAAAGAAAGCACAGGGCAGGGTCCTGATTTGACACAATCAATTGATATTCTATTATCAACCCGGTCTCTCAAAGTAGTAAGAGGAACTCCATTTAGCTTTGCAGCTCTATATACTGGAATTCCTTCATCTTTCACCATTTTATAAGCTGATGTCATAGCAGTTGGTGACCATAGCCGTAGTCTTGACCTATCTGCAGGTTGAGTAAGCTGAAATGAACCAGAATAAACAATCTTTTAATGCATATTTTGGCTTATTTTGAATACCACATATATTAAACATGAATAAATAACAAAAATGTGTTCATTTGCTTTATTAGATGGTCTTAACATCAACTTAGATTCAATACAGATTATGTCCAGTCTGTATTTAACTATTGCAATTAATAAGATCTATGGCCCTGATTTGCTTCCGTATTTTATTTTTTTGACAGGTGCTAGTGACGTATCACTTGGTCTATTTTTAGAACTAATGTTGATTTGCTTGCGTCATCCATCGGCTGCTGTCAGAGGCTTGCAGATAAATTAAAATGGAGGATTGTATAAAACAGAAAAAAAGCATTAGTGAAAACTGTATAAAATTGATGATTTGTAAATAAAAGAGTAAGTTTACCTTTATCCTGAACATTTTTACCGTGAAAACAGTTTTTATTGAAGCAGCTGAATACACAGTGTTGACTTGGAGGTTTCCTTGTCAAATGACGTCAAACTCGTGAAAAAAACACGCGATTATTTATTCTATCGGGAATTCCATTATATCGAGAACTGAATATCTGAGGATACTTTGTTTTAATCTTTTTATTTAATTTTCCTTTTAAGAGAGGAAAATTATCATGAAAAGGACAATGACAATTGATCCCAAGTTTCAAATATAAATGGGAATTTGAAATCGTCATCCACATACGAGGTAGGTGCTTTAAGTCGCAGATACAAACGAATTGTTAATAAGTGCAATATATACAAAACCTGAATGATATCAGGTTGTTTAATTTTGACCTATAAACTGTTTAAATTGAGAAAAAATGTAAAAATTCAAAATTTGGAATTTTACAGTAACAAATACTAAGAAATTGCTAAACACATTATGAATAACATATTTTTAAATATAGCTGTAGTATTAATATTCCTGTAACAAAATTTTTAATGATTTTATATCATAAATATGATGCTCAAATTAAGATTTATCAATTCTGTAAGTTCATAAAAGCATTAGTTATAAAGATATTACCGAATTTAACATTCCATATAAATAAAGAGAGGTAATCATTTATTTTCTATTAAAGTTTAAGTCAAATTTTCCAATAAGAAATGAATGCATATATTTAAATGATTACATATAATATGTACAAAAATGTGCAGTACATATTTTACATATTCTTCGATGTTTCAAAATTGTTTTATAAGCATATTAAGTATATACATAATTTCACTTAAATGTGGTATACAACCTCAATTACAACATATATGATCTTTCATATTTCCTTTATTGGTTTAATTTTTCACAAAAATACTTTTTAAAGGAAAACATGAGATTCAAACTCATGTCTGGAATTACCAAAAAACTAGTTATTCCTTGTTAACACGTGTCATTACACCTAATTTTGGTGAAAATTTGTTGTTTTTTGACATTTTTTATTTTTTTAATTAACCTTTTACCCCATGAGCATATTGCGAAAAATGGCCGTTTTCATTCAACAGCTTGATATAACAAGTTCATGCTATGAAACTATGAAAAATATTTCAATACTGATGAAACTTGGCTAGACCATAGCCTTTGAAACAGCATGCGTAATCGTAAATTTCCTTTTACCATGGCAACGGGGGGACGTCATAAAACTGCCAAAAATCACTATTTTGCGTTGTTTTTTTCTCCAGCAAAACTGATTTCAAAGTGCTGCAACTTGAGATAGAGAAAAAGGCTTTTCAGCGGCGTCGGTTACTAGTTACCCTAAGATCGACCTGAGGCCATTTTTAGCCTGTCGCATGTCCAAAATTTTCTTGGCGATGAGGGGGGGGGGGGGGGGGCTACCGCCCCCTTCAACCCCCAAACAGAAGGGTGCACATCCCCCTTCTGGCAACCCCCTGATGAAACATTTGGATGGGGGCGGCGCCGAAAAAATGGATACTTTTTTTAACAACATTTCTCAAACGACAAACGGTGTTTGGGGCCTAAATAGGGCATTTTCCCACTGTTTGAGGCCTCAAAAAGTGGGGGGGGGGACAAAAATCTGTCAAAACACGCTTGTATCAGGGAAAAGGTTAAAAAAAGTCATTGGTGGCTCTCGAAAGTCTATTGGAAGTCACTGATAGCTATTAAAAGTCACTGGTTGATATTGAAAGGCGTTGGTGGCTATGAAAAGTTGATAGTTGCTATAGAAGTCAATTGTTTTCTATGAAGAGTAAATAACCGTTATGGAAGAAAAATCAATGACCCAGAATGGTGATTACAAAACGTGAAAAGACAAAACCAAATAAATGTACTTCTTTTTCAATCTGTTAACGTACAACTAGAAAATGTCTTAATTTATTATGCATGTACATAAGAGAAACAATATTCTAAATGTTTTCATATAAGTTTTATTCTTCTCTTTTTTTATTAACTATGGACTAAATCAATTAGTAATATTTACTAAAGTTGAAATTTTATTAACTATGGACTAAATCAATTAGTAATATTTACTAAAGTTGAAATTATCGAATGTTATTACAAACGTTAGACATTTTCTACTTATGAAGATGAATGTCAATATTGTCTATTATTCTAAAGCGAGACGTTTTCTTCTTTATCTTACAATTCAAAATTACTCCTAAACATACCTGTCATTTCCAATGGTTTGTATTGATTCGTAAACCATACAGAGTTGTCAATGGAAACATGAATAATTTTTTGAAACTTATCAGGGTATACAATAGTCTAGATACTGTCAATCTTAGACAAGCCATAATTTGTTAACATTTCATTTCTTTTGTAGTTTCGGTTATCTCCGTGTTTTTCCGTAAATTGATAACTTTACTGATTATTAAATAAAGGGGGTGGTACAGTATAGTGATAAAAATCAACTGTAGGACGCGAGATATTTATAAGGGGTAAGAATCTTTTTTGTTCACCCTTTTTTAGTTTTTATACTGTTTATAATAGAAAATATAATGTATTATTGTAAAAATGGTTAATTTTAAACGTGCATTTTTTGTCATTTTCTTGTGTGTCTTTTATTTACATTTCTCCACGGAAATTAATTTGCGAACAAAAGACTATTAGATCTATCCTTTTGTTTTTCAAATTTATAAGTAACTTCACTTTTTTATCTAAAAGCATGGGGATTTTTTGTCAAGGGTGATAATATTATATGGATACAAATAACGTCTTTTTAACTATTCAAATGAACTTCAATTGAATTCAATTAATGGTATGACGTAATAATGTTTAAAATAGGAATCGCTTATAACTTAATTTCTCAAAGCACACATTTACAAGCAAACTTTTATACAATTTTTCATCAGCTTATAAATGTTACAAAAACATTTTGAAAAGTGTTAGTTCAATTGCAGCTCTGAAATAGTATAAAAAAATTAAAATACTTTTAATGAAAACAAAGGCAAACACAATATATTAATATTCTTATATGACAACATTATATTGTATATAGATGTATTTATACATAACATTTTAATTTGATTGTGCATGTTCAAATTAAATCTTATGTACAGGTTCAGAAAGTAATGTAATGGACATGTTGAAAAGTAATATAATGTTAAGTACTCAGTTGATAGTACGCCGATAAAGCTCGTTTGTAAATGTGTCATATCTAACTGGGGCGCAAGATAATTTGATCGTTAAAGAAGAAATCAAATATCTGATATGTAACTATTGATAAAAATACATTATCCTTGACATGAATGTGACTACCCTTAAAATAATCGGCTTGACAGAAATGTCAATTTAACGTCCTGAAGTAAATATTGAATCATGATATATGTTTGATTACTATGAGCCGAAATATAACAATATAACAACAATTCAAAAACTGAAAAAATTAAGAACTTTGTATTATTTTGAATGCTCTCTGCATTCAAACATTATCTTTTTGTAAAAAGAAACACTCTGGTATGATGAGATTTGAAAATATTTTTATCAAAGTTGACCAGCAGTTTTGTTCGACTGACCAAACAAATCATCTTATACAGGAATTCTATACAGAATTTTTATATGATTTACCTATTATATTTTCATTTAATGATTTTATTTTCAATCTAATGAAACGTGCATTGCATTTATGTTCAATTAATTTCCAATTAAATTGAATAAAAATGAGTCACTTATCATTTTAATAAATTCAACATTTGGATAAAGATAACTTTAATTTTTACACTCTTAAACCTCATTTTGAGGCAAAAGAATGGTTGGATTGGACAATCAATTTTTTTTTGGAACTAGATTGTTTCAAATGCTTAATGTATTTAACCATCATTCCTTAGTTATTCTATTTATATCTCTTCTACGGTAATGACAAAGTTTGCAATGAAAATGATAAAATGTAAATTTACTTAGTATCCTTAGTCACGTATATAAAAGATGTTCAACAACGGTGCGTGCACGCGTGATTGTATCTGTGCGTGTAAACATGTAACGCAATAAAAGAAAATAAAAATAAAGAAAAAATAATTATAAAAAATAATAAATGAATATATAAAATATCGGAGGTTTTCATTTTAAAAAGGTCAGAACTGCATAATTGATTATGGAAAAGTTTATATACATATAACACAAGTTTTTGGAACGGTTTTTACTAAGTCAAGAAACATTACAGTACAAATTCTGAAGAAAGAAATCAAGCAAATACACAGGTGCACAACTATACATTTTAACACACGTCTGTTGTTTCATAACTCTAGGTAAAAAATTTTTTTGCTCTGAGCTACACAAGATAAAAATTGCAAATTTTAACTTATCAAGGCAATAACTCTTTAATGAAGTTATCTAAAAGTTAAGCCCCAGATTCAAAATTTCACATGCTGATTAATATTTCTATAAAATTTCATGACTACAGGTCAAACCCTTTTTGGGCTACTGGTGACATAAGTTGAAAGTTTTATTAAGTTAATGGCGAAAAAGAAATCTCAATTAATCTGCAAGCACCTCACGACTCTATGTCAAATGCTACGTGCGACACAAGTTAAAAATTGCAAATTTTAACTCCGTCAAGGGCAATAACTGTACATATGATGAATAAATCCGCAAGCAAACCATCAGGTGCCCAACTTCATAGTTCTATTTCAACCAGCATTTCTGAAATATTCATGACTCCTGGTCAAACACATATTTGTTATTCAGATAATGATGAAAATTTTAATAAAATGATAACGATAATGACGGAGACAATGGTAATAATAAGGAGGAAGAGGATGATTATGCTTTTCAGTTCAGAAAATTTCAATTAAATGAAAATGATGAAGAAAGAGGATGATGATGATGTGATAATGATGATGATGATTCTATGATTTGGAATTTTACATTTTGACTAACAAGGATGTTTTACTGCTTTTGACATGTGTACCTGATAAGATGGTAAAAAAAAATCATAAACTATGAACAAAAAGTAATTTGTTGTAATATCTATACACTAGCTCTAGAATGAAAAAGAGCGCATAACACAAACATATTCATTATTTTCTTATTAAAATATCTTATTTAAGGACGTGCATATTATTGTCTTTCTTCATAGTTTCACAGTCTAGAGTTATGTATGGCTGACAATTAAAAGCAGGACGAATAACATC